AAGTCAAACCAGGGGCAGAAGGAAAGCTCCTGCATCCATCGACGCTGGTCATCCGCCTGAACGGGCGCTTCTAACGGGGGTCTAGGGATAAGGCGGGGACTCTGCAGCAACTCAACCCGCCAACCCAAACCCCACACCCACGGATCGCTTTTAATCCTCAATGCCCCAGGTTATGCTGGAGCCGTCAGCACGGATGGCCGTGAAAGCGCTCACTCCACTGGCTTGAATCTCCTGCACTTCTTGCAGCTGATCCTGTACATCACTACTATCGCCACCTTCGCGCACCGAGCCCCAAGTGACCACAGAACCATCTGCAACAAGGACTGCAAAGGCCGCGCTGTTCGCCGCGATCTGCCTTATATCTCGAAGGCGGTGGCTCACGGCCGTGTTGTCGCCGCCAAAAATATTCTTGCCCCAAGCGACGACGGATCCATCAGCCAGGGTTGCAGCGAACGCGGCCGCCGTGGCGCTGATCGAAAGCACATCACAAAGTTCTCCCTGCACAGCACTGCTGTCGCCACCACGTTCTGCATCACCTCAAGTAACAACGGAGCCGTCTTCGAGGATGGCAGCGAAAGCGCAACAGGTGGCCTGAATGCAACGACCACTGCGCAGTCGGTGAGGTGCTTGGCCGCCAAAATCTGCGTCGCCCCAGGCAATGACTTCGTTATCAGCACGGATGGCTGCAAAAGCAGCCTCAGTGGCCTGGATCTGTCGAACATTGAAGAGCCTATGCTGCGCAGATCGGCTGTCTCCACCATAGTCAGCATTGCCCCAGGTGACCACCGTGCCATTCTCGCATATGGCTGCAAAAGCCCGTTCATTGCCCTGGATCTGCTGCACGTTCCTCAGTCTACGGCGCACAGCTCTGCTGTCTCCTCCGTCTGCAGGACGTCCCCAGGTCACAACCGAGCCATCAGCCCGAATGGCAGCAAAAGCGTCTCTGGTGCGCTGGATGCACTGCACGTCCTGCAGCTGTTCCTGAACCGCACTGCTATCACCACCATACCCAGCACGGCCCCAGGTGACTACAGAACCATCGCTTCGGACGGCTGCAAAGGCGCCACAGCTGCCACGAATCGCGACGACATTGACCAGCTGGTCCTGCACGGCAGCGCTGTTGCCGCCGTAAGTTTCCAGACCGAAGGTCTGGACACAGCCATCGCGGAGCACAGCGCGGGAGACGCCTTCGGTGGTATAAAAACCACCATCCTATCCCTGACTTATCCCCCTTGAGTCGCTACCCTGCTACACTAGGATAGTCAAGCCTAGACAATGGTGGCTAGCCTTAGTATATGCTAGTCGAATCCGGCTAGGCTACGATAGTTAAGCCTAGACAATGGTGGCTAGCCTTCGCAAGTGGTAATCTAGCCCTGCTACTCCATCTATTCTGGATAGTTACGCCTAGACAATGCTGGCTGCCCATAGTAAATCCTGATGTAATCTAATCTACTCCTAACACCCGAGAACACGCGCATGGAGCCACAAGGTGCATTCACGCAAGCAGGAAGCCGTAGGGTCTAGGGGTTTGGGGTCTGAGTTCAAAGCGTATAGTTGGGGGATGTTGGGGGCACAGGGCTAGAGCTCAGTCTTCAGGGTTGGGCTTATGCTGCACATGCCAGAGCCCTACTCCTCAAACGTTAGCCACCCACCCCAAATCGCAAGCCGTGGACCTCAAACCCGAAAACCCCACAAACCCTCAGCCCTACACCCCGAACCCCAAAACAACACTTGCCATGGAGCAACACAAAGCTGAAGGATGTAATGATGGTTTCGGATGGTCTCGGGCTTAAGGGTTTAGGGTCAGATAGGGTCAGGGGTTTTGGGGGGCCGTGGCTGGCAAACAGAGTTCGAAATAGTTTGAGATACTTTGAAGATGTAGAGTTTAGTGCTTGGGGTTGGGGATTGGATATGGTCGGATATGGTTGGATGACGTTGGATGACACTCTAGCCTTTACTGCATCCCGGACAAATGAGCCTCGTCCCAATGCCAAGGTCCGTGATGGCCACCATAATCCTGCCCATACATCAAACAAGCTCTGCCATGGAATCCCCAAGCAGCAGAATGCAGCCTCGTCCCAGTGCCGAGGTTCATCCTGCCCAGACATCAGAGAAGCTCTGCCATGGAATCCCAAAGCAACATCAAGATGCAGCAAGCAGCCTCGTCCCAGTACCAAGGTCCATCCTGGCCACCATAATCCTGCCATGGAGGCTCCCAAACGCGCAAAGACACACGACATCCGACCATCAAGCCTCTGAATCAGCGGAGCTTTGGTCAGCATCCGACCACCCGTCCTGATAGAGCACTCAGCAAGCTAGCACTCTGACTCCGTGGCGCCGGCCTCCTCTGGAAGCCCGGGATCATGGTCCTGCACAGCAGCCCCCCCCCCTAAAAAAAAAAACAAATGGTCAAGATATGTCATGATGCAAGATGAAACACGTCATGATCGAGAGCCACAAATCCTCCATCTCATCGAGGATCTCCAAAGGAGGGTCGCGGTCCTGCTACTATCCACCCCCAACAAATAAAAAAAATCAAGCTCGATGAAGAAAACGGCAGCCATGCCTGCGAGAGGGCATCCCAAGAAGACTCATCCTCAAGCCAGATTTTGGAAAGCCACGCGCAACTCCGTCCCGCAATTCCGCCCTGGCCTCGAATTCCCAGCCAGCCAAGTCCTCCGAACCAGCCGACTCCTCCAAAGGGCAAAAAAAAAATCCAAATACTTCGGACATCTTTGAAGACACGCAAGCACAGACACACACACACACATACAAAGACACACACATACGCTCCAGGAAGACTACAACCAAAACTAGAGAACTCCCGCTCCTCCTGCAAGAAGTCCTCACGCCACTCTGTCCCGGGCAACGGGAAGGTCTCCAACTCGTCCTCATGCCACTCTGGCCCGAGCAGCGGGAAGGTCTCCAATTCAACCTGCAGCACGGGCAGCCCAGGACAGCCCCAGGCGACAACAGCACAAACGGTAAAGCCACGTAATCAGCCTGTTCCTCGGACGATGACTTCCTGGCTTTCGCCTCCATCTCAGACGCCTGAAGCGCTCAAAGCAAAAAGCAACATGACACTAGCACAAGCATGCACCAACATGCGCCTACCATACCAACCCCTTGCATGGCCTTTCTTGCATCTTGCTGACGTTGCTCAAGCATCTCGTCCAAGTGGTACACGAAATCCTCAGACCCACTGCGCAAACTCCAGCACGCGCAGGCTACTGCGCGGCAACATGCGGCAACATGCAAAAACATGTCCCAAAGAACAACAGTCAAAAAAATGCAGCTGAGCAACCCACTCGTCCTCCGCCTTGTGTCCTAGCCGAGGCCGAAGCGACACCGGGAAGTACAAAGGGATCCTGGCTTGCCTCTCCTCCTGTCAGAAAGAGTCGGAGGCTTTATGGGAACACCGTGAAGCCGCAAGCATGATGGAACGCTCCTTCTTCATAATTTTCATGCGCTCATCAGAGGTCAGCTCCTGAGGTCAGCTAGGCCAAAGCCAAACAGCGTACTCACTCTGGCACCCAGGTTTATCCAAGACACAAGCCATTCCATGCCGCGCTTCATCCGGAAGGAAAGCTACGGCCAAAGGCGCGTGCGCCGGAACAAAAACTGCCAAAAAAAAAAAAGCTGCGGAGGAAGACAGCTTGCCCAGCACAGTCAGCCAACGCAAACGCGCAAGCGCCAAGCTGAAGCAAACAAAGATGAGAACTTCAGCCTTCTGCTGCTCAAGCTCGCAAGATAGGACCTGACAAGGCGCTACAACTGCTGAGCACATCCAAAAAAAAAGGAAACGCAGCGCGGAGCCTTCACCCTCAAGGCCCCACCATGCGAGGATTCTTGAAACTCCACCTAACCAAGAAGCATCAGGCTGCATCAAGATTCGCACTCAGCGGAACCAGCCTTCAGCACACCGTCTTCTTGGTACTTGTGTGCCTCACTGCGCAGCGGGGGCTCCTGCTTCTAGATAGGAAAGCAAGCAGGATAGGAAAGCAAGCAGGCTTCGAGTGATGTCAAGGCATGTCGGAGATCCTCCAAGGCATGCTTCGTAGCGTGCTGCGACGCCTGCGCGTGGCTGTTGAACTTGGCGCCGTCGGGAGCAATCCACTGGTCTCAGCGAACGTACGCAGATGCCAAGATGAGCACAGATATGCGATGAACTCTGACGACATCATGAGACATCTAGATTCAAAAACAGACATGAGCATCAGACATCATGAGACTCCGTGAGCCTTCAATGCGCAGCCATGGATGAGCAGATGAGCAATGTGCAGCCAAGCCGCAAATCGGCTCCCCGGCTTTAGGCCCGCTCTGCCTGTAAGAGGCTGTGGCCAGACGCCACGTCATGGCTCGCGCACGCAGGAGTTTCTTTAGTCTTTGCTAGCCTAATCTGGCATGAGGCAACCGCGCGCAACCGCTAAGCGCTCGGATGCACTCAAGAGACCCCTATGGTGGCTCAGCTGCTGCTCCCTCAGTGTGTCATGATATGCGTGCGCTTGGAGCACTAACCAACTGTCGGATATTATCGAAACCCTTAAACACTGCGGGACGCTCTCCAGGATAAGCAGCTTTCATCCACCGTGACAATGCCATGACATGCCACGAGTGACCGCTGGCAACTGAATCCTGTCCTTACAATCTTCATCAATCTTCTGTGTCTGAGTGGTGCATCCTTTAGATTCTGGCGAGCACCCCCCCCTTCCTGCACCAAGGCGCCGCTGCCGGCTTGTTAGCCCTGACCCCCCCCCTCTTTTCTGCAATAGTACGGGAACCCATAATTGTAAAA